CGGGCGGCCGCGCGGGGCGGCGAGGCAGGGGGCGCTGCGCCCGGACACGCGCGCGCCGCGTGGGCGTGGCCGCACCGGACGGCTGGGCTCGGGTCGCTCTCCCGGCCGCGCCCCCGGCACCGCCCGCAGCGCAGCGCCGACCTGCGGCACCGCACGGAGCGCAGCGAGCAGCGCGGATCGGCGCGTCCGTGAGCGGACCTCGCGGCGCAGCCACGGCGCCCGGAACGCCGCACGGAGCCGCGCACGGCCCCGGGGCCGGGCCGGCCGGTTGGGCCCCGTAGGATCTTATCGACCCGTAGCAGCGCCGATCGATTCCCAGAACCGCCCCTCGCGAGGCAGCGGTTAAGGCGAGCAGAAAGCCCCGGAGTCGCGGTGCCCTCTGGCGCTCCGTGCGGCACTCGCAGCCCCGCGCAGCGCACCGACAGCGCCGCCCCGAGCTCCGCCAGCGGGTTTTTCCCCTCCTTTTTCCCTCCTCCGAAAAAAGCTGTCACACGACACATTCCGGCTGTTCTCCGAGCCCGAACGCGCCCCCGTCCCGCGTGCAGGGGGACACGGGGACACGGAACAGGAGCACACGAGGATTATTTCGAGGCGCGGTGCCGCAGCGCGCTCCCTCCTTCCCTTCTCATTCCAAATGCAGCTCCGTCCCGCGCTACGCGAATTCCCGCAGTGCTCAGGGCGCTGGGCAGCCTGGCCATCACCACCAGCCGCCTGCAGGGCAGCGCCGTGCTGCTGTGTGAGCCCAGCCGGCCGCGCTCCGCGCACAACGAGCTGCGCTCGGAGCTCGCCCCGCTCCCAGCACAAACACGCTCCGCTCTTACACTGCCGTTCGAGCAAAGAACGAGGGAAAGAGGGAAACGCGAGCCGTGTGAGTTTAGTGCCTACACACACAACGGCACTCTTACACGTTCAAATCCTGGCATGGAACAGCAAGGATAAACCACCGATCCCAGCCCGCACTCAGAATGAGCCACGAGCGCCAGCGGAGTCGCTGACAGGATGCTGGAGCTCCCCCGATGGACACAGCGCTGCAGGCTGAGCCGTCAGAGCACACAGCCGTGCCGGCAGCTTGTACAAATACAGCTGCTCTGCAGCCCTGCCATCAAGCGTGGCTGTTTGCTCCTGGCTGCAGGCAGGATCTGAAATAGGAGCATTACATCTCTGCATTCATTCCATTTCCAGAACACCAAGAAACATCAGTATTTGTTGTCTCAGCAAAACCAGTTGAGCAGAACAAGGGGAAATGGTTTTAAGCTGAGGGAAGGGAGATTTAGGTTGGATGTCAGGGGGAAATTCTTTACAGAGAGAGTGGTGAGGTGCTGGAACAGCTGCCCAGAGAGGCTGTGGATGCCCCGTCCCTGGAGGCGTTCAAGGCCAGGTTGGATGGGGCCCTGGGCAGCCTGGTCTAGCATTAGGTGGGATGGTTGGTGGCCCTGTGTGTGGTGGGGGGTTGGAGATTCATGATCCTTGAGGTCCCTTCCAACCCTGGCAATTCTGTGAGCACTTGATAATGAAACTTGGGTGAGAGTTCTGATGAAGGTGCATGAAGTGGAACGAGACCCCAGTTGTACTTAACCAACCACCACCTCCAAAGGCATTCATGTTGTACTGCACATTGTACTGCATACAGCACTACATCCAAAATCTTCAAATCAAAATTTCTTGCTTTGCCAATGCAGCCCAGTATGAACCTCAACTCACTGCTCCTTACTGAGGGGCAGCATGCAGCTCCCTTGCTAGCACATCACTTTGATATGCTCCTCTGGCTCTGCAGGTTAAGCAGAGTTCTGCTGCCAGGATGAAGAGACACTGCTTAGTTGTTGGAAAATATCACACATGGGAAGGTTAAAGAGGGTGCTATTCACATCAGTAAACCTGGGCTCCTGAGGACTCGAGGAAAATGGGTGAAAGAAAAGGATGGCTGGGACCACTGGTGTTATGTGCTCTGCTTTAAGACACACGAGGAGTGCAGGCTCCTCACACCTATGTTACAAACCTCCCTGTCTCCTATTTGATGCAAGAGACATTCCAAGAGACAATTCTCAAAGCACTGATGCATTCAGGTATTAATTCATATTAGTTTCAGAGGATGATTCCAAAGGAAGAACAGAGCAGTAAGCTGGGAGCGCAGCTGCCCTGCTGCTACTTCTGAAATATGAAAACAAATGGGTTGTGTGAGATTTTGAATTCTGATTTTACAGCTCTTCTGGAAAGGTCAGAGATCTGCAGCACAAGGGCCCAGGAAGCAGTGGAGTCGTCAGCCCCAGAGGCGTGAAGAAGCATTAGATGTTGTACTGAGGGATGAGGCTTAGTGGAAACATTGCTGGTAGGTGGATGGCTGGACTGGATGGTCGTGGAGGTCTTTTCCAACCTTGTTGATTCAGTGATTCTGTGATTCTTTGCACTTGAGCACCAGGTATTGCTAAGCAGATACACTCCAGTTTAGCTTAGATTTTATTAATACCTCTCTTAGAGCCAAGGAGCATCACTCATTTTAATTTAAAAACCTGCTGAAACTTCAGATAAACCTGAGCATATTTCCACACATCCAAGGTTAAGAGTAGCACACCTGCAGTTGTGAAGTGAGATTAAAGAATTCTCCAAAGCAAGAGAAAAATTAAACAGCATTTCAAGCTCTTAAATGACATCTCCAAATGCCTCACTCTGGGCTACAGTTTCCTTTCACAAGAGAGCACCGCAACAACCACAGGTATTCTTTTCAGAATCTCGTATTTTGCAATGCTTATAGATAAGAAATGAGAATCTAAAGGCAAAACAAATGGCATAATTCATTACAGATATTTAAGTTTGTTTTTTTGGGGGTGGAAAAAAACCCTTCCAGGGCTTTTCTACGTGCTCCAAAAGGACCCAGAAGTGAAGCCCCTCCCCTGCTGTGCCGCTGTTTACACATTCCTGGCAATCCTGCCAGCTTACAATCACTGCAAACGCAGCCCACTCCAAACTGCCTTTGGCAGAGGCAGCGTCACATATTGCGGGCATTCAGTGATCCAGACCTCATGGTCCAACAGACGCAGTTCTGTGCCACCGCCCCCAGGGATCCCTGCTGTTGGACTCGGGGCGGCCTGAAGATCCACACTCCTGCAGCACTCCTGGGTGCTGGGCAGCCGCAGGGCACGGAGCTGAGCAGCCCTGCCAAGCCGTGGACATCTGAAGTGCTGCGAGTTAAAATGCTGGCTGTGTCCTCTGAAGTTTTAAGGGTAAGGCTATGAAGAAAATAAACCCAATTAATGGACTGCATTTTCCAGCGCTCCACCTTGCTGTTCTCTGGTACATTCTGTATCTGCATCTGTGGGTGGAAATCTGAACAGTGTTTCTTTCTGCTAATAGCTTCACACAGCTTTGATGCCCCTAAAACATCTCTTTAGTGGTGAAAAAGAAAATTTGCAGCAAAATTTCAAAGCCTAAGACTGAGAAACCTAACACTAAAAGCCTCCATGCAACACTAACTTCCAAAGAAGGAGAACAACTGAGGATACCTGCATTGCACCCCTCAGAGCAGGAGCACAGCAGCACAGAGCAGGACAGAGATCCCAAGCACAGAGCAGGACAGAGCAGTTAAAGGCCCAGCAGATAGGGAACGCATCTCTGAATTGCAGTTGAACCTTGACAAGCTGTGATACTGAGCAATCCACGTGAACATAATGAGAAGGCAGACAGCTGCACAAGCAATACACCTACTGGCTAAATGTGACCCACCACATTTTTTAGGCTCACCAATAAGGACAGCTCATTAAAACTATATTTACTGATTCTGAACATCCACAGCACTTCTCCAGCTCCCATTTCTACTCCAAGTTTCAGGCTGCTTCCCCTCATCTAACACTGGCTGGTAAATAAACAGCAATTCTTTTCCACTGTCTCTTTCCAGATATTTGCCAGCTACATCACCACCCAACGAACAACACCTCAATTATCAGCATACATCACCCCCAGTTTTGTTACATATTGTCTCCTGCAGTCTTCCCAACGTTTTCCTCATCGAGTGGAATCACAGGATCATATGGGTTAGAAGAGACAGTAGTGACCAAATACACACTGAAGAAATGTCTTAACACATTTGTATCTATATGTGTATTTTTTGCACCATATATACATCACATTTTTTGTCTCACACACAGTTGTTCACTCTGAGCTGTAGCCTGCAGTCAGCAAAGATGAAGCTCAATTTAAGCTCAAAACGCAACTCAAGGTATGAATTAATCAAAAAGGATTTGCTTTCTACTCAGCTGAATGGGAATTCATGGAGTTCCCTGGGCAAGTTGGGAAGACGTGCGATAGGCGGCGCTCTCCTCGAGGCACTGAACATAACGATGGCAGCATCGCATTGCAAAGGAAGCCTTCGTATTTACCTGTGACCCTTTGTGAAGGCACAGGGCAGGACAAAAGTCACAACCAGATCATTATTGCCCCATGTGTGGGTATGGGCTGTGCAGAGCTCGGGGCAGCACTGTGTGGCAGACACACAGAACAGCTGCTCATCTCCCACAGCACAGAACTGCTGACTGCCAGGGTTTTCCCCCACTACACTGTGCACACAGGTGCACAGCTTTCATTATTGCCTTGCATTGCTGTGCTGCTTTAATGGGAGCGACACCAGAAACATATGGAGAACAACATGAGGGGGCAAGGAGGGGATGAGAGAGAGGGAGAAGTTCACTGTAAGCAGAGAAATCCTATTTATGTCTGAAACGGAGAACCTGACCAAAAGGACGGCATTGAAGAACCAATGGGACTGCCCCAGCTTACCAAGAACTGCTATTGAGAAACGTCTTCAAGGAGCAACAAAAGTGTTTGAGCACTGCTGGAAAAAAAGTGTATCGCTATCATGGCAAATAGAGGAAATACTTGGACAAGAAGTAAGGATATTCCCAGCGTAGTGATCAGTCCTTTGCACAAACAGTTACTTCCTATTTCAGAAAGGATTCAAACTCCCAAAGAAAGTTTGCATTCTCTGCATGCTGTGAGATGTGACAAACAACACATCCATGAAACACAAACAAGCATCAGGTGTCATTGTGTCACCAGCTACTTATTGTACCACCGAAGGGAACGGCGATGGCAGAGGACCAGTGCTGTTACCCAAAAAAGGGCAATGGCCACAATCCAGTTAAAGATTTGCTTACCCGTGCCCAGGATCAGGGCCCACCCAACACTCCAGAGGAGGGATCTCCAGGCAGACACTCTTCCATGAGGTTAGGGAGGGACGCAGCCAGGATCCACCCTTCCAGTCCCACAGCAGAACTGCTTCCAGCTGTGCCACCAGGGCTGTGTCCCCCCAGGCCGTGGCTCAGTAACTGCCAGACAGCCATGTACATAACAAATGAAAAATTCGGTTCCCTGCAAGGTTCTACAGCCCCTTGTTATCCTGCATTACCAAGTTGCAAATATCCTCCCCAGGGAACAGTTAGCAAGATAGAAATGGAAGAATTAAATCGGAAAATGTGAACATTCTCTCCAGAATTAACACTACAGATTTTTGTAAGCCTAGAAACTATAAATATTTTGTACTCTACACATTGCCATAAATACAAATTATTCGAATGCATTTGACTGCATACTGAAATGCTTTTATACTTCTCACGAGAAATGCAGAGCTTCCATCACTTGCAGGATCCATCCCTGCCACGCAGCACTGCGGAGCTCAGCCCACCCGCAGGACTGACAGCCAGCAGAGCTGCTCCTTCTCCCAGCACCCTTTCCCTGCACTAAGCTTTGGTCAGCCGTAAGTTCTTCACTTCCATGTTTTATAATTTCTTTGCTTTTCTTCATTAGGCCACTCATCCAACACGCCCAAGCTGCACTGCAGCACATCCCTCGTGTTCAGCTTTTCAACAGGGGGCACTGCTGTTGAAATTATAAGATTACACAGGTCTCTTGTATCAATTACACCCAGATTTTTCCTAAGAAAAATAGTGCTCAGGTAGCACCCATCAGTCTGACAGGACTGTGATTTGTTGGCCCTTTTTCTTCTCATTCAAAGATTCTTTGCCACGTTCCAAGCAAGGTGTGCTCTGGAAGAACCCAGCAGCCCGTGATGCACAGAAGCAGAGCATGGCCTCCCCTGACTGGGAATGTATGAATCTCAACTTTGTAAACTCTTCACTTTTTTTTTTTACTTTTAAAATCGTCAGTTCCAGCACCCAGCAGCTGATTCAAAGCACAATCATTTTGAAGCACATAAAGCTTCCCATGTAACAGTTTAACAGTTCCTGTGCCCTCTGCGCCCTGCAGAACTCCCATCCCAGAGCAGCAGCCACACTGCAGGCCCAGGGCTGCTGCCTCACACACCAGGATGGGGGGCTGCCCCAGGTGCACATGGCCGTGTCAGAACCACTGCATAACAACACGTGGCTCTGACAGAGTAGGGCACGGGCACTGCAAACCTCTGCTCTGCACCAGAGCCTCTGCTTGGAGGGGAAGAGATGAGAAATCAAGAGTGGTGCAATACCTGGTATAGAAGGATTGAATCAAGGCTGTACAGTCCACTCTTTTTGTTCTCACTTCATCATTTTGCAGCTCTTAAAGTCTCTCAGTGCAGATTTGGGTATAAATAAGAGCTGTATGAACTGTGACTGAGTGAGAGCTCTCTGCAGAAGTAGTTAAAATACATTCTATATGGCAGAGGAAGCAAAAACGCAGAGCACACCCATGCAATAGTCACTACCATACCACAAGTGCCCATGTGCAGTCTGGAGTCAAAACAGCAGAGGTTTTATCATAACCAATCCAGATGTGGTGTAACCACCAAGATGAGGGCCCTGCAGGAGCCAATTTCCACGTGTAACTGAGGTCACTCCGGGATTTCCCACTCGTATGTGGCCACGACCCACTGCAGGGTATCAGACCCGCACTGGCTGCCATACGCTGACACTTACCAGTACATTACTGGGGCACCACAGCACACAGAGCAGCAGTTACAGCTCTCAGCATTGCCCACGGGCAGCACTGTGCCCCACACACTGCTGCAGGATCCAAACTGCTGCACAGCGGGGCTCAGCTGCAGTGCTGGCATATCATGGGATGGATGGAGCTTTGGGTCCAGACAAACAGCTCAGCAGGTCCCCCGGATCCGGGGGAAACAACCCACTGGATCTGATGTCCCTCTTTCCATATTCTAGAGAAAAAGCGTTCTTCGAGGCACATCCTGTCATCCTCTCTGCGTGCAGTGTGTGTGTACTGCTGCTTACATGCTGCTCCCATCCAGCACGAACAGATGGGCTCGTGGGAGGAGCACAACACTCCTGCATGTTACAGAAGGTTCCCAAACTTCATCTGCGTGCCCACAGATTCTAAATATTAAGTCCATGGGATTATTTGTCTTTAAATACACCGCTATCTCAGCTAACATTAAACATAGCACAATAAAGTCACAGAGCTGCTCCAGGCCATACTTGAGATTTGTTCTGCCATTCCAATCCCTCCTGTGGGAATTAAGTGGAACAGAATGCAACCCCACATTTTTATGCATAGAAAAACCAGCAGAAAAAAAAAGCTTTTGATTTGCTATTTTGAAGAACACCAAAAAACCCTCAAAACTCTGTAGGCTGCGTACTACCAAAGGGTGCTAAAAAGCCAAATAACTGATGCTTCAAGTATATTCCTCCTTTATTTTGAAAGGAAGCATACAAGAAATGTGCAGAGGAACCCAGAAAAACACAGGGATGGTCCACGCTGCAACGAAAGCAATACAGCACTGCAGGAACCACCACCTGCACAGCCAAACTGCCAGCGCCCAGCGAACCTCAGGGCAGCACCATGAGCTCCAGGTTGCTGCTGCTGAGCTGCGATTGCCGAGAGCAGCACAGCCCATCCCACGCTGACCAAACGGAGACAGCCAACACTCACCAGTACACAGCGTTCAAAAGGAGAAGCAGAAGAGCCCCATTTGGGTCATGGCTGCACACACATGGCGCTGGCACAGAGCTGGGACTGAACACAGCCGCATGCAGCCAGATGGCTCTGTGGGAGCTGAGGGCTTCTACTTCCTCAACCTTACAGAAAAAGGACACATGTATACAGACACACATCGGCAGTTTGATAACTGCTGCATGCTCAGAAGTTAGTTAATCTCCCAATTGTAAAGAGAACTCGTGAGGAAGAGTCCGCACTGGACTGAGCAGCTCTGAGCACTGTGCCTCCAGGAGTGCTCACAGCCTGCAGGCAGCTTGCTTTCATTGCACCGAAGCGTTTCCATATATTCCAG